GACCACTGAGGTGAGGCCGAGACTTTGGGCCACATCAGGAATCACCTCTACAAGTAAAAAGGAAAGGAGGAGACAGAGAAAAATGAAAATGAAAAGAAGAGTGAACAATGAAACCAAAGCAAAAACACAAGCCCAAAGATCAATAAATCCCACTCTCAACCTGCGGTTCAATAAAAAGAAGGCAAAACTCTCAAGGCTCCCTGGGGATACCACAATTCTGATCATCAGAAAGGGCAATTTCCAGGAATCTTTGCCCAAAAGCACACCCCTGTATCCTCTTCCTCCTTCCTCCCCATCAATCCATGAAAAACAGAAGGCCCAGCAAAACCAAGAGAAACTCTATAGAAACCAATGAAAATCATCTTCCTCAATTCTACTAACAATAATTAAATGCCTACTTCGTGCCCAGCACTATACTAGGGGAAAAACAAAACTGAGATGGTAAGATGCAGTTTTTTCCCTCAAGGAGCTCACAGCCTAACAGAGGGGCAAGCCAAGTCCACAAATAAATATAATGCAAAATGGAACATGGTCAGTACACAAGAGAAATGCCAAAAAGGCAGGACAGTAGAAGAGTATTCTAAAGAAGACTGTGTAGAAAATGGGGAAGAGGCTGAAAAATGGGGGGGAGGGGCCAAAAACAGAAAATCATCCTGTTCAGCCAGAGCAAAGAAGGGGATCACAAGACACAAGGCAAGAAAGGCAGTCCAGATAAAGGAGTCTATCATTATCTTCTAGGTACTGGGGAGCCAATGAAGAATCTCACGCAAGGCAGCAACTTGATCAGACCACAGCAGAATGAAACATGGACTAGAGGGGGAAGGAGACTGGAGACCTAAGAACCCATGAGCAGGTCACTGCAACCTACCAGGCAGGTAGCAATAAGGCCTGAACTAGGGCAGTGCATTTGGGGACAGAAAAAGATGGATGTAGAAGATGTTGGGAAGGGTGAATCAAGAGGATTCACTGCATATCTCAGCACCATAGTTCAGAAAGAGAGCTCAGTGTAGATGCAGAGAAGATGAATTCAAATGACGGTGTTCTACAGACTCTCCAGGTGAGTCCAGGCAAGTCACTGACTTGGGGGGGAAGGTGCCAGAAGAAGAGGAGAAAAACAACAACAGCTAACATTTATAGAGTGCCTATCATGTGCCAGTCATTATGCTAAGCAGTTTACAATTATTACCTTATTTGATCCTCACAATAACCCTGGAAGGTAGGTGTTATTATGATCCCCATTTTACAGATGAGGAAACTGAGGCAGACAGCGGTTAAGTGACTTGTCCAGGGTCTCACACCTAGTAAGTGTCTATGGCTGGATTTGAACTCAGGTATTCCTGACTCCAGGCCAGGGGTTCTAGCCACAGAACTACCTAGTTACCTGAGGGAGTTGGCCTAGATAAGGACTAAGGTTCCTTCCAGCATTAAACCCCACAACTGAAAGGGGGGGTGGAGAGGGAGGGGCAGGGAAGAGTCCCAGAGAACAATGAGGTTTCCACCCTAGGTGACTAGTAGTGTACACTGATTTAAAAAAAAAAAAAAAGAAAAAAAAGGATGTCAGATGCTGGGAATAGGGAGAGGAATTCTCTTTAGAAGCATTCTGTGGAGTTGACTCCACAGCCTGCCCAGGGCAGATCTGTTTGGAGTTCAGAAAAGGTGAGATCTATGTTAGTCTATGAGTTCTCCCAAATAGAGAGCTAATATGCTTACTTTCCTACCAGAAAGAAATGAAAGCCCAGAGCCCAGGGTGAGATTTCCCCACTTCAAAGCAGAGCTTATGGAGGGAAAAGGGTGGTTAACACCCTCCACCAGGTACTTTCACAACTGCAGTGATCACTGAGCTTTGAAAACAACCAACTCAAAATAATGGCTGCGATTCAGTATTTGAAATAGGTGCCCCAAGAGAGAACATTCCCCCCTACAATGCCTGACAACAGACCTAGCTCTACAAACCCAAGAGAGCAAATTACTGATTTTACTTTTTTGTTATAATGAACTTGAGAAATACCAACCAACCTGACATTTCCACACATGAAGAACCGAAAAAAGAATATTTTAACTGAAACAGCAAATCTCATTAGCTTGGGTTTTCTTTTTTTGATTTTAGTGCTTGTAAATACAGCATGTGAGTTCTAAAAGCTGTCCTGCTTCTCTTTGTTTTCCTCTAGATTTCCTTCTGTTCTCTTGTGCTTTAAAAAAAATGCTCCAGGGGTAAAACAAGGATGCCCATTATCACCACTATTACTCAATATTGTACTAAAGGTGTTAGCTTTAGCAAAAAGGGAAGAAAAAGAAATTGAAGGTATTAGAATAGGCAATGAGAAAACAAAACTAGCACCCTACAGATGATATCATGGTATCTAGAGAATCAACTAAAAAACTACTTGAAATAGTTAGCAACTTTAAGCAAAGTTGCAGGATGTAAAATAAGCCCACACAAATCATCAGCATTTCTATATATTACCAACAAAGCTCAGCAGCAAGAGACAGAAATTTCATTTAAAATAACTGTAGAGTCTACAGTTTGTTTTGTTTACATTGTCTACAATTTATAGTGCAATCTGATATAGGCTCCACTTAGACATTCATATTAAATATATTTTCACATTAGTCATAATGTAAAGAAGAATTAGAATTAATGGGAGGAACCACGAGAAAGAAGAAACAAAACAAAACAACAAAAGAAAAGGAGAGCAGATAGCATGCTTCCCTCTGCATTCAGACTCCAAAGTTCCTTCTCTGGATGTGGACAGCATTTTCCATCGTAAGTTTTTTGGAGTTGTCTTAGAACCTTGCATTGCTGAGAAGAGCTAAGTCTATCAAAGTCAGTCTTGACACTCTTCTTAAGGAATTATGCCAGGCTCTGGTATTTAGCCTCTGTTGCCTGTCCCTGTCTTTTCAAAATCTAAGTTAGTTGGCAAGCTTCCTGTGCAGCCACATCGAATCTCTGTGGACAACACCCACCTTTCCATCTCTTTAGAAAGACTATTTTTTTTTTTGTTTCCATCCGTCCTGCGCTGGCTTTTTTCCCTTTACAATCTTAGTCTATGAGGTTGTAGTTATTCTTTCTCAGAATGCTCAGAAATCTGCTCTCCCAAAATCTAAGATGCTATCAACCTATACTTGGCTTTCCTCTTCTCTACCACAAATTCTATGACCAAGTGATTATTTTCTCCCAAGGTTTCTAGAACTTCTATCCCAACTAGAGGTGTCGGTGTCTTTTTGTTGGAGAAAAGTATATCCAGAACAATGTTCCTCACATTCATGCCTCCATCTCTGGAAGGATGAAATGACCAGTAAAGAAAGCAAAGAAAATACTGGCTGATGCTCTGCTTTTAGAGCATCTGTCTAGACAAGTCAAGTCCCCAAATACTACTGCACTCATGCCTCTTTGGCTAGCTGACAACGAAGTCTTAACTTGATAGTTTTGTAGATTCCTAAGGCTCAGAGCTGAAGGGCCTTAGCACTTATCCATTCTGAACCCCACATTTTACAGACCCAGGGAGAGCAAAGAACTTGCCCAAGTTCCCACTGACAATTAAGGAGGGGTCTGGAATGCAAATTCAAGTAGTGACTCCAGCTGATCCTCCTTCTGTGTACATGCCTTAATGGGCTGGGTTGCACCATGCCTTATCTTCTGTCTTCTCTAACAACAATCATGGTACATAGTGACTAAGTGGTAAAGGAGTATTTGTGGAATTGAGTTGAACAGCAGTCACTCTCTCCACTGCTCATCCGGGGAGTTCTCAGGTCACCCTGGGACAGACAGAATTTGATTTACCATCTATAGTACTTCCCAACTCTTGTACTGTCATTTGATTTCTCACATAGTTGCGCCTTCATCATAACAAAGTGACCACACAGGTCCACACCCCAGAGGAATCACCTTCAGAGGCCCACAGAGTTCTACGCCCCTCTGATCATTTTATGAAAGACATTCAGTAGATGGAGGAAGCTGGGATGGGAATCAGAAGACCTGAGCTGTCTTCCCAACTCTTAATGCTGCCTCCGTGTGAATCCCTGAGTAAGGAACTTCTCTTCTCTGTGACTTGGGGCTTGGTCTTCAATGGGCCCTCAATTACGTTTCAGGAGAGGATTTCTAAGATATATATATCATTTCACTTGATCCACCGGACCTTGTGAGATCAGGACAACGGGACTTCTAAATTCTTTTATGGTTCTAAGTCTATGATCTGAAGGCAGCTTGGGGGCACCACAGTACACAGAATGTCCCACCTGGAATCAGGAAGACCTGAGTTCAAATTTGACCTCAAACACCAACTAGCTGCATGACTCTGGGCATATCACTTCACCTCTATCTGACAAAATGGGGATAATAACGGCACCTACCTCCCATGGTTGTTGTGAGGCTCCAATGAGGTATTTCTAACGTGCTTAGCATGGCACCTGACATACAGTAGGTGCTACATAAATGCTGATCCCATCTCTGCCCCTATGGTCTCTATTTTACAGGAGGGGACATGAAGTTAGGAAAGGTTGCCCTTGTTACCCATGATCACACAGCTAGAAGAAGAAAGAGAATTTAAGCCCAGATCCCTTATGATTCTGAGTCTAACAGTAGTCCAAAATGAAGAAACTAGATCAGATGACCTCAGAGGTCCCCTGCAAATGAAATTCTGTGACTAGATGATAATGGCAGTTCTTAACATCTCTGACAATCTATGGATTTCTACAGCAACATGGAACTCATGACTTGCAAATTCCATTTAGTAATTTAAATGCCTACAACAATAAGATCTGTTTTTAGACATGGTTTAAGATCATGAAGTTGGAGAAACCTCCATTTCCGGCCTCTTCTCCAAGGGCCATTATTATTCCAACACAGAATAGTTCATAGAATGCTACAACAGGATATTCCAATTTTATTTCCACCAGTTAGTGAACGATGTGCCTGGTCACTGAAGAAGGCCAAAACAACAAACAAACAAATCAGGAAAACAGGTGAAGTGAGGGCGTATCCACAGGAGAAGGGCACTTACTGGTTTTCACTGGTCAAGGGTGGGTAAGGTGCAGATGAATAGGCAAAAGTATTCCACCAAGGATAATGCAGCATCGAGTTCTGAAAATACAGCAACACCAAAAGAGTTAGATTTTGAGTGGAGAAACATAAAATATCAACTTGATTCAGCACATGAGGCTGCTAACTCTGTCAAGAGGCCGGAGAAGAGGATGTGGGGCACAAGGTGGCAATCAAAACTCACTTCAGCAGTGACTTACTCCAGCCTCCTACCCAGTGCCTGAAACCCCTACCAAGCCCCCATGTGGGCCCAGCCCAAGCCACTCCCAGTAGCAGGAGCCTCACCCGCCAGTGCTGGACAGCTCTGATCGCTAGAACGTGATCCCTCCCACCAAGCTGAAGTGCGCTTCCTCATACCTTCTAAGCCATGACATCAAGCCCTTGCTCCCTGTTTGCTTGGAATCCGTTTCTTTAATTCACTGACACATCTGCTCTCTGACTGACCATTTCTTATGTGCCTATTCTTTTTATGCCTGCGTTAGGCATAAAGAATGAACAGGAAACCAGAGTTTTGTCCCTCACAGATACAAGAGCCTGGAGTTTAGTGGTAAACCTTCATGCAGAAATATGAGTAAAAAGAGACTATGACTGACATGTTAGAAAGTTACAGAGCAGCATGGGAGTTCGGAGGAAGAAGAGTTCACTGCTAGTTTACAGAGGTGTCAAGGATATGGCCACACAACGCAAATAAGCCCTTCAAAGACATGCATGGGTGATAACAAACGTGAGGCCCCTGCCCCTGCCAATCAGGAAAACCCACAATTTGAAATGTGGGAACTGGAAGAGACATGAGTAAACAGGACAGATACCACAGCAGAAAAGGGCCTGAGAATACAGAATATCTGACTAAGAAATGTTGCTTTACTGAATAGATTATTTCTCTATATAGGTGCTTCATACTATACGGAAACTGCTTGTTCAAAATTTTAATAAACTATCTTGGTCTTAAAAGGACAGTAGCTGGCACGTAGTGGTAGCTTCATAAATTTTAATTGCATTGTATTATCTTGGCTTGTACTGAACTGTAAATTGTCTCATGAATCTTTTCTCATCAGCTCCATGAGGGTAGGGAATCATCTCTCTGGTTAGCTCATGGAACCTGGGACTCTTAGAATGGACAGGGATTTTCCTCAGGGGGCCCAACAAGGCACTGCTTATGTAATCCACGAACCCTATGTACAACTTCCCCAACAAATACCCGGCCTCCACTCGAATAAACTCCACCAACAGCAGCAATGAAGAACTCACTACCTAGCTTCCATGTTTAGATACCATCAAGTACAAAGCTGACTACAGAGGGGGCACCCAAAAACTCCTCGCTGACTCACATGCTGATCATTTGGGAAGCATCAAATGACTAACATCTTAACGCAAAATTCTGCCAATTTCCCAAATTCCTTATCAAGCTCCTGTCACATCTAGCATTCTTTTCTTTAGCTCCAGTTTATAGATGAGGTCAAAAGAAAGCCCCAGCCTCCCAGGTTAACCCCTAGAAAAGTCTGCTTACGCTTTGTTCCTCTCAGTTCTAATCATTCAATTATATTTCAGTAGGAAGCTGCCAGAGGAGAAGCATCACCCAAAAGGGAGACAAAATTGCATCTGTCTTTGACACAGGCTGATGACTTAAGACCTGTGCAGCAGATCCCCTTCAGCAAAGGGAGAATGATCTCTCCGTCAGATGGGCACATAGACCTATTGATGAACAGACCTCTGAACTCCAGCAGAGAAACATGCATATGATTTACAGTAAATCCTGCTTACCCAGTGACTAAACACATCCCCAGTGATTCATCGAGGAATAATGGGTTCCTTCCCTTATCCATGATAACACAAATAAATACTAATAGATCCAGGCAAAAAAAAAAAATACAAAAATCCTCAGGCTAACAACTAAAGCTCTCCAAAACCCAATCCAATAAAACAAACATTTAAGGGCCTAATAAAGGCAAGGAAGTAGGCTTCCATTTACCTTTCTAGTCTGATTTCCTATTATTCCCTTCAAGGACTCACTATTCCAAAATGGACTACCAGTTGTTCCCATACATGGAATTTCCTACGTATTCATTTCAGTACTTATATCCACCACACACACACTCCCCCCGAGCGGATACATAACGGCCCTGACAAAAGGGACAGATTCCTTTAAAACCCCAGCCCTGTGAATCCTGCTTTAGACAGGCGGCACTTAAATGAGTGTTTGTTGGATTGAACTCAAAGTGAGGGCCAAGGTGGCACCCAGGCATTCAAAAACTATTCCAGGGTCACTTCGCTATTCCTTTTTTCTACTTTCTTTTCAATGCTAAGATTTTGGAAGAGGGGTGTGTGCTGAGATATTCTCTGATCACTGATTTCAATACACATTTCTGAACCTAACATGTAGGCTCTACTCTATGTAATAAAAGAAAGGGACCTTAGCACACTGAATATCAGAGCCTTCACAAAGGGCCTAAGAAGAGAGTTCAGAATTTGGAAGGTCTTAGGTTTAGACCAGAGGTTTTATCAGCAACCCCCGCCCCAGCCAGATTTAAAATATAATTAGAAAATGTTTAACAAAAGAAATAAAAACACAATTTGTAGTTTGTAGTAATTTGTAGTTTTCTAAGTCAATAATCAACAGAAAAGATTCAAATCTATTTGAGTCTGACACTCCCGATTTAGACCAACAGCTCACACTACACACGACCAAACAAACTCCAAATAAATACGTAACCTGAATATCAAAGGTCGGATTATAAACATGCTGAAGGAGAAGAGAAGGCAATATCTTTCATAAAAATGGTTAGAGAAAGAGTTCGTAACAAACAAGGGATAGAGATGATCACAGGAGATAAAATGGACAATTCTGACTACATATCAAAAGTGAAAATTTTCAACACAAATAATATCATTGCAGTTACAACAGAAAAAGTAACATGGGGGGAAAAATCTTGGCAGTAAATTTCTCTGAAAAAAGTCTCATATCCATGACATACATCAAATTGATCCAACTATATTAGAAGAGGAGCCATTCCTCAAGAAATAGTCAAAGAACATGAACCTACAGCTCTTGAAAGAAGAAATGTAAATTGGTAACAATTACATGAAGAAATGCTCCAAATCATTAATAAGAGAAATAGCAATTCAGACAAGTCAGGCTGTCAAAAGTGACCAAAAAAGAAAAATGACAACTGTTGGAGGGGCTGTGAGAAGACAGGCATCCTGGAGCTGTGAATTGGTGCCACCATTCAGGAAAACAATTTGGAACCAGACAGGCGCACAGCGACATATACACAGTGAGCTCCGTCACAGTGATACTCCCACTACATGTGGTGCCACAAAGACATCAAAGACCAAGTGAAAGGACCCATATATTTACTTATTAAAGTGCCTTACCTATGTTCCAAGCCCTGTGCTAAATGTACAGAAATATTTATAGCAGCACCTTTTGCAGTAACAAAAATGGGGAACAAAATGGGTGCCTATCAATTGGGGAACAGCTGAGTCATGGCACAGAAATGGAACTGAACATTACTGCACTGTAAAAAATCATGAAAGAGACAGATTCGGTGACACCTGGAAGACTCATAGGAACTAATGATGAGTGAAATGAGGAGATCAGAAGAATTTATACAATACTTTAAAGGAAAACAACTTTGAAAGGTGTCAGAAATCTGTTCAATGCAATGACCAATCATGATTCCAGAAGGCAAACAACCAAGCATGCTTTTCACCTCTTGGTGGAGAGGTGATGGGGCTGTGGAAACAGAAGTCTTATGTTTTCAGACAAGGGCCAATATGTGATTTTTGTTTGTTTGCTTAACAATACTTGTTAAAAGAAAGGGTTTTCATTTGGGGCAGGGGGAGACTTTAAGGGATGAACAGGGGAGATAGGAAGAGTGACACCCCTCTCCCCCCAAAAAAAGGAAGAAAAAAAAAGGGCATCAATTAAATACTTAAAAATACATTGAAAAGACTAGTAGGAACTTCAAAAAGAGATCAAAAAAGCAGGGCAATGTGGGTGTTCAATTTAACATATACTTTTTCTTAAAAATCGTACACAACAGAAAGTCATGATTTATATACAACCCTCTCTCTCTGCTCATCTTGGCAAATGGAAATCTTAAGGTTTGCTGGTATCTCTCTGGGTCTTAATGGTCGGTTGGCTGGTTGTCATCCCTCGTTCTTGAAGAGGACCAAAATGACATCACTGTTAGAGTCAAGTTACAATGCACCCGACCACGGATGATCAGACCAACAGGAGCTCGGAATGCTCTATCACACATCAGGCACAAATAGGCCCTGTGAACATTTAGGCTGGATTTTCTAAATTTGCACATCTAAATTTTAAAAGAAATACATTCTTTAAAAAATGAGAAAGGTCAAGCTAAAAGGGGCCTTAAAAAACAGACCACGAGAGATTGGAGGGAACTCAGAACACAGAATGTTTGAGATGAAAAGGAATTTCTCTTATCTATTTCAAATCACTCATTCCAAGGAAAGAAAGAGGACCAATAAAGGGATGTGACTTGTCTAAGGTAAATAGTATTGGTAAGGGGTACAATCAGAACTAGCATTCTAGGCTGCTGCTCTTTTTATGAATGTTTTCTCCTAGTGTTCTTTTTACAAGTACCTTTGAAGGAAGATCATCAGGCCAAAAGAGAAGCAGGGGGAAAGCATGGTGCGGAGGTTGGTCTGGATCTGGCACAGAGCCCGCAGTGAGTGCTGAGCTAGGGAACAGAACCATGAAAAGAGGCCGCTCAAGACCTGTAACTGCGAGCTGCCAGGGCATCGTCTATGGTTTCCTCTGAACTGCCCAGGCTAAGAAAGCCCATTCACCATTCACTTGCACAATGGGACAGAGACAGGACAAGGAGAGGCCCCACAAAATTCAAAAGGCTCCACTGTAACTTAATAATAGAAAGTGAAACCAAATTAGCCATCCATCTCCCACAGCGTTTTCACTGGCTGTCTCCCATGCCTGGAACTCTCCCTCTTGAATTCCCCAAAGTCCTGGCTAAAATTCTACCTTCTCCAAGAGCAGTTCCCAACCCCCACTGATGCCA